TACCCTCCCCCCAAAGCCCTGCACCCCAGCCCTGCTGCACCTTCCCCCTAGCCCAGGCTCCATGGCTATCAGCAGCTACCCAGAACCAAGGCCGGCTGCAGCCAGGAGGCTGCAAACAGCTGCTGCCTCCCCTGCCCTATCCCCGGCTCTAGCTGCCTCCCAGCCCCAGCCCCAGGCTCCAGAGAGGCAGCAGATACCGGTAATGCTCTCCAGTGTGCTGCCCTCGTCACCACTTCTGCAGAGCTATGTGTGGAATTGGGCGTGGCAGGACACAGCAGGGGGGTGCAAAAAGCTGCCTGCTGCTCCGAGCTCCCCACTGCCCTGGCCACACTTCCCCTGCAGGCAGGGGCAGCAGCAAGGGGCACAACTCTGCACGCTGCCCACACTGCTCCCATACACACATGGGAAGTGTGACCCAGCAGCACGGAGCTTATGGCAGCAGGCAGCTTCCCTGTGTGCCCCTCTGTGAGCTGCTGCTCTGGGTCACACACTGCGCTCCCAGCCCTGCTGCCCTCCCCGGGCCCTCCAGAGTGCAGCATGTGCAGCCCAGAGCAGCAGCACAAAGGGAAGCTGCCTGCTGCAAGCAGCCTGGGCTCCATGGCTATCAGCAGCTACCCAGAACCTGGGCCAGCTGCAGCCAGGAGGCTGCAAACAGCTGCTGCCTCCCCACCCTGGCCCCAGCTGTCTCCCAGCCCTGGGCTCCAGGAAGGCAGCAAGTGCTGGCACTGCACCTGTTGGGGCCAGGCCAGGGAGGCAGCAACTGTTTGTAGCTCTGGGGTAGCTGCTGCCAGCTATGGTGCAGGCCGCTTGCAACAGGATTTGCAGCCTCCCAGCCACTTGCTGGGAGCAGCCTGGGCTCCCAGCTGGCAGCAGCTATCCAGAGCTGGGGCCAGCTGCAGCTAGGAGGCTGCAAACAGCTGCTGCCTCCCCACCCCGGCCCCAGCCCCAGCCCCAGCGTGCGCCGAGGAAAAACAAGAAGCAGGGATGGCTTTTAGCATGCAAGCTTAAGGATAAAAATTGCCTGGTGTCTAAAAGTTTAGATAGGTTATAGTGAAGGAAGCAGTTATACGTTCTTTCTACACAAAATAGCAAATATACATACTTGTCACTGTTGGCTAGTTGCCGGAACTCTTTCACAGTCATTGGCTTTTTCTGAATGTTGTACTGAGTGAAGAGCCCTGATTGACCAGTGACCATCTGCTGAATTGGAGCTGGAATCAGCAAATCATCAATGTCATCATAATGTTTTCGTGGCTTCCACTCCTTTGGCGGGATCACCTGAAAATTCAGAAAAGCAACACACTGACATTAGCTGTTAAAATATTAATCAGATTTTTTTTTGAAAAAGCTACAAGAATCAAGTCACTTAATGAAGTATAATACAGATAAAGTAATACATCTGACTGAAAGCTTTAAATCTTGTCTACAAACATGCAACACAGGACTCAAAGATAACATTTACTCACCTTTTTAAAACCCAACCTAAAGTGACAGGAAATCTGCTGACTTCCCCTGTCCATGCTGCTACTTGAGGTATTCAGTATGTCTTGGAAAATGTGGTCTATACAGTTTTAGCTCCAATTCAACTGTTCTTTTTAGAATATGAAGGGTAAGAGCAGACTGTTACTGAAAGTTACACTGGTACAACTCCAATAGGGATACAACCATAACAGGGTGCCCTATACCCATATAGATTATTCCCATGAATGTATACAATACTAGTGTACCCACTATTTAACTATCAATTCCTAGCCAATACAATTAAAACAGCATAAGAAGTGTGCATAGACTAATTTATAAGTAATTGGGATTTAACTTTCATTTCAGGCTCCCTAGAATCAGCTCACCTCATTACCAATTTGTAGAATGACTCAAATGCGCACTATACTATTAAATTAGGAGCCACCAGAAATTCCGCAGAAACCTAACCTCCCTCAAACAGACTTAGATAGAATCAGATTGATTTATTATATTGACTTTGAAAGGTGTAGACAAAATAGAAAATTTTCATTTTTCAATTCTTTACTCTAAAAGGGCATTTTTAAAAAACATACAGCAAGTGTTGTTTATGTAGACTACAACGCTGGTTTGGATTAAATTAAGCAATACACTGGAACATGGCAATGCTTAGTGTATCATGATCAGTGATGTTAACTCATGTCTGTAGGATGAGATTATTAGTTAATCCTTCTTCTCTCGGATATCTGAAAGTTCACAAAAAACAAACACTGTAGGATAAAAATATATCCAGCAGCTATTAGATTTGTGTCTGCCTTAAAAATGTCTTACTGAGAGCACTAAGATTTTTAAAATATATTTGAGATTTGGAGATCATCCATTGCCTCCAGATACCAACAAGGAGGTCAAATTCTAAGCATAATCTAATTGACCATCTCTCTTTGAAATTAGGATTTTTCCACTCTTTGCAATAGAAGCCACACAAACCTAGAATATAGGTGAAACAGATTACAGAACCAAAATAACCATTTCCTCCTAAAACGCATTTAATATTTCCAGTTGAAATATAAAAAGGCAGTTTAATGCTGAAGCTCTTACCTGGCTGAAATGCCCTTCTTTCCCACCCACCCCTCTCTCATGAACTTTGATGGGACCTTTAGCCATGTTTGGTCTTAAGAAATGGGCCAATATTCTCCGTTCTTAAAGAAACACAAATGTTCAATTGTCTTGTCTTATTTCTATTAAAGCGTTTCACACAAGCCTTAAAATTATATGCACACATAAGATATGAAATGCCTCTTTGAAAGCAGAGAAGACATGCATTCAAAATATATGCATAAAACTCAAATATGTTCATAGATATTTCCATGTTTATTGTTATTAAATATGAACTTGTAGGTTTGGTTCCACAATGTGAATATTAAACACCAACATTTGCATTCTTTTGCTTAATTCAAGGTCATTGCATTTTGTTTTTCTCAATGTCCACCATGAAATATTTTAAGTGAATAGTGTCCAAAATATCCTCTCTCAATGGTGCAAAAATACTATTATTTACATTACAGTAATGCTCAAAAGCCCCAGAAAAGATTTACTTTCTTATACTAGGCACTGTTCTAAGAGTGTGAAACAGTAAAAAATGGTCACACCCACAAAAATACACGTTCTAAATAGACACGATGAAGTCTAGGACCGTGAACACTGATAGAAATATGACTTGCCCAGGTCAGTGGCAGAACTGAGTATTGAATACAAGGTTATTGACACTAAGGCAAGTGCCCTTTCCACCGACTCATACAGCATCCTAGCATACATTTTGACAAACAAACAGTAGAAACAGACGTTGCCTGACATCTCATTTGTGCCACCATATAAATTCTGGCAGCACAAATGCTGAGCAAAACAGATGTCAATAACCTTTGTTTTACCATATAAAAGGGAAATCGGTGGCACAACAAGAGGTGGTAATAAACTCTGCCACTTTATTGCGAAAGACATCTGTTACCGCTCTGGTGCTTTCCCTGCTCAACCAGACTCATGCCCCAGGTCTGGCTGAGCAGGGAAAAAGTGATTTCCTGCTCAGCCGGACCACCCAGACCCAGAACACAGTTCTGACTAAGCAGGGAAAGCAGGAACAGCACCTTGCCCCTGCACACTGTCCAGCACCATCAAGGGTGATTCAAGGGGCAAAATAAGTTTTGCCCAGTGAAGCAGATCACCTGTGCCACAAGACAGCAGCACAGCTGATCCAATTCATTCGGCAACATCTATTTCTAGCCTAACTTTTTTCATATCAGGAGTACCAATTTCACAGCATGGTGACAGTTTAAGTCTATTCTAAATTCTGATACATGTAGGTTTAAGTTGTATACGTTCAGGCATAAAAACTGAACACGCATCAGATAATGCAACTTTCAGGCTTTATTCTTTTCTCCACATTTACTATATGCTCTCATGAAGCACTTGCTGAAAGTAGGGTTTATTTCCGTTAACATAATCATGCTATACAGTTCCCAGTACTGGAAAGCAACTAACTGTAACATCTGTTTTGTCACGTGTGAGACAGTAAAATTAAATACGAATATCTTAACAGCTTACATTTGTAACAGTCTGACACACTCTGAAGTTTACATCATTATAAAACACTAAATTAAAGTTAAGTACATTTTAGTACACAATTGTTTGGCAATTAAGCTATTTTCCTCTGGAGCTGGGGGGGTTGTTCTTCCATATCTTAGTAAAATAAGATGCGTATACCTTGCAGACAGTTTGATGAGGCAAATGAAAGATCTTATTAATAAATGACTGCCTAGCACTCGGTTCTTTCAGGTGGAGAAGCATTTTGAGTGTGTGCTCATCAGCACGGATCCTGGTTTTCTCCAATTTAAAAAAATCCTCAATTTCCAGGATAAAAGAGTAACCCAAAATCCACATTTTTCTACATCCATCCATCCATGACATTACATTTTAATTACAGAAAAATATGGATTTTGGGTTACTTTTTTAAGCCAAAAATTGGAGATTTTTTTAAAAATCAAAATCCTTGCTCATCAGTCACTCAACAGCCTGCGTTCCTCCCATGTTCTGCTAATCAAGTCACAGCTAGATTCATAATGCACCATCTTTTGCATCTATTTTTTTTTGTCCTGTGGTCATAACAGGTGGATGCATTTCAATTTTCAGTGAAATAAACAGCTGTCCACCGCAATACTATATAATGAACAAGTATTTTTGTGTCAATCAAAAATAACTTACTTCCAAGTGCATAATTTTACTTGAGGAAACAGAGGGATCTTGACAGTCTCCCAGTTGCACTTCTGAGATGTCACCAATTTCATAAGTTTACTAAGTTTTAGCCTGGATATGTCTACTTCCTTTTTGCCTGTTAAGTCTTCTACCACTGCTGGGCCTGTAGACACCAATGTCTACACACATTAAGAATCCTACTAGGCTTTCTGTAGGAGTGTTTCTTCATCCAGCTTTTTTTAAATAAACTTTAACAACTGCTACTGCAAAGTCAGCTTTTCTATTTGACTAGCTAGTGGCATGGCCATTTCAGGCAACTAAATTCCATCCCAAGGTGAACTGCACACTCACTGCAAGTAAACTGAAGTCTGCTGAATAAAAATAACATAATTTGGAATAACATGTTTTCTGAAATGCTTAATTGGCTCGTCTATGACAATGCCAGCAAGTGTCCACCAGTTTGTCTAGTTTCCAGAACTCTAAATAATAACCTACAATTATGAGGTGGTTAATGTTATTTTAGTGAAAGGGCTCGTTTCTACTTTGCTCCAATACCTGCTGGGAATTGCATGTGTTTTCATTCATTCTTTTAGTTCCCCCATCACACTGGCATCACATTCTACAATTGTCTCTTTCTTCGCATGGTAGTATTTCAGGAAAAGACAGCAGGTCACTAGCTCCTCCACATACAAGATGGCTGCTTCATGCTGAAAATTGTATCTTTATCAATTAGTCACATTAGCAGTTCACAAATATCCAAGGGTCTTGTAAGAAAATGTCAGACGTACAAATCCTTATAGTCTTAGAACTACTGTAATATATTTAAGTGTGGGCATCTGTTTTCATTTTTTTAAAACCTTTTCCGGATCTACTTATAGCCTCTGGAAAGTCAGCAAGTTTCCCACATATAGAAGTGTAATAGGGCTGCGCAAAATTTCACCAGCTGTTTCACTTCGATGCTGTTTCCACGCAGTTCAAGCTTGAAACAGCGAAATCTAAATGAAACAGAGGGCTTGAAAACAGCCTCGCAACAAAATGAGGCCAGTCGAAACGTTTGCAGCCCCATGGAACTGAGCCCGGTGGGGGGTACCAGAGCGCAGCGCTGGGGCTGGGCTCCGCCTCCCTCCAACTGGCTCAGCTCCTAGGGAGGCAGCAGCAGCAGCCTCTTGCCTACACCCCCAGGAGGGCTACAGAGCTCTGCTGGACTCCTCCCCAGGGTGCCAACCCCAATCTGCCTGTGATCAGAGGAGGCTGCTCCTCCTCTAGTTTCATGCTTATTATAGCCTGGGTGAAACATTGAAACAGTGTAGAAATTTTTAAGCTGTTTTGATTAACCAAAATGGAACATTGAAACTAAACTAAACTTGAAACAAAACACTGTTCCATCGAAACAAAGCACAAGTCAAAGCAAAATGGTGCTGTTTCGCACAGCCCTAAAGTGCTGTCACCTGAAGTTTTGTTTATTTCATTTTACATTTTCTTCCCTGTTCTTTCTAGCAGATGTTTTAGCAGGTGAAGGTGGCTAAGCTCATGATATACCACAGCATCTGCCATTCAGTCTCTATGGCTGTACA